TTCCACTTTCCTTCGCAGCAAGTTTCTCTGGGTTGCTAGGGAGTCCGTTAACATACGCCACAGGTGATGCTTCACTTTTAGAGTTATGTTGATGCCTCACAATTTCCTCCAAGTTGTATTGACTGACTCAGAATTGGAGCTTTCTGTTACCGGATTACTTTGGAAGCTACGTGAGTTTGCAGCACCTTGTAGCAGCTAGAAACAGTAAATTTTCCATGGGTGGTGTAATGCCACCTCCAAAAATCCCTGCCAGCTGATGGACTCAAAGGGATGCTTGCAATCAGGTCGGCTTCTTCTTGCCAGAACATATGATTAAAGAGAGATCAATTACAAGTTCTGATATCCATCCAACAGGGAGCTCACTTTGGTATTTCCTGCAGAGGGAATCTTCAGACTAGAAACCTTGAAAGTGAAAGGCTTCGGAATCCATGGATCTTCCCAAATCTCAATTGAAGACCCGTCACCAATTCTTTTGCGTATGCCGCATTGGAGTGCATTTCGGCCTTGCAGAATACTTCTCCAACTGAAGGAAGGACGGGTGCCCAAACTGGCCTTCATGAATTCACCATTCGGGAAGTATCGAGCCTTCAAAACCTGATATAGCAGCGAACGATTATTCGTCCAAGCTGCTAGGTCTGTTTTCCAAGCCATGAGAGATTGAAAAGCTTCAAGTTTTTTAAACCTAAGCCACCTTCCTGCTTCGGCTTACATAGTGACTCCCAACTTTTCCAGTGGATTTTCTTTTTATCCTTTGAGTCGCCCCACCAGAAAAGTGCTAGTAAAGAGTGGATCTCATCACAAAGTGTTCTGGAATTTGAAAACAGCTCATAGCATATGTTGGAATTGCTTGTGCAACGGATTTGATCAAAATTTCCTTCCCGGCTTGCGATAAGGTCTTTTCAGCATAACCATCAATTTTTGCATGGATTCTGTCCTTGATATCATTGAATATCTCTTTTTGGCGTCTCTCCACAACCGATGGTAGACCCAAGTATTTTCCATGGGATTGAGTGCGATTTACTCCCAGTCATGAAGCTAACTGTGTAGCTATATTTTCTGGAGTATTTGGACTAAACAACACTGCTGCTTTATCCAAATTGATAAGCTGCCCCGAAACCGATTCATAAAGATGTAGTATGCTGGAAAAAGCATCGATCTCTAGTTCAGTAGCTCTACCACATAACAATGTATTATCTGCAAAGAAAAGATGGGTGATTTTTGGGGCAGTTGGTGCAACTTGTACACCTTTCACATTTCCACAGGGATATGCTTCCTGTATCATCAAAGAGAATACTTCCGCACAAATGATAAAAAGGTAAGGGGAAAGAGGATCCCCTTGCCTAATACCCCTTAGCTAACTTAATTAGATAGAGATTCTATAGTTAAATATATATAATAAGATAATATTATTAAAATTATCCGGTAAAATTAGTTATTTTTAAAATTCAAAACTAGAAGAGAATGTAGATTGATTTATGTTCTTCGTTTATAAAAGAGAGTCATGCAATCCTTTGGAGGTCAGGTGAACCGAGTTTTTTTGTTTTGTTTTTTGGTGGTGGTTGTTTTTGTTGGTGCTCGCAACAACCAAAGAAGCAACAGGGAGAAGCAACCTTATGGCATGGCCAAAGAGAACAAACTACATGATGAGAGAAAAATAGAGCCGAAAATAAAGCCGGCCCAGAGAAAAGTTGCTACGGGAAACTCCAATCCTAAAACATGGACATTATTGGACTTTGGTGAGTGTTGCTTTATGATATTGTAGTTGTGACATTTTTTAGGATAATCATTGATGATTTTGAATCCTTCATTTCCCAGCTTTTTGGAAAGCTTGAGTACATCCCTTTTGTTTGTTGATTGAATTAGATAAAGATTCTATTGTTCGATAATTATCCCGTGTTGACGTCTAAACAATACTGGTGGCAGATGGGACAACAGTGGATATCATGGTGGAGGTTTTCGTGATGAATACTAAGAGAATCGTGCTGGAGGTGGTGGGGGAGTATTGGTGGCGAAAGAAGGGGAAAAATTGAGATCATTGATTCATTTTATAAAATTGGGCAACAACTAATAGATTCTCCAACATATCATGGTACGATATTTCTTGATATTTCTCTTTATATATATATATATATATATATATATATATATATATTACTGATGTCTGGTCGTGCATTGGCCCAGTATATCTGTAGATCTTAGAAATGTTTGTATTTGAAAAAAAATATTTTGCATTTGGCCCGATATATTTTAGAAATGTTTGAAGAATTTAAAAATATTTTATAAGTGTGATCATAGAAATGTTTGTATTTGGCAAAAAAAAAGAAAGTGTATTTGGCCCGGTACGTTTTAGAAATGTTTGAATATTTTAGAAATGTTTTATAAGTGTTACTTATTAAATATAAATAAACTTGATCAAGTATATCTCTTGAAGTAAATGTTAGACAAAATATAAAAGCATCCTAATAAGTTTAAATATTAGTAAGATGATTTATTGATGTTCTCCATTTGTCGTGTCAAATCAATACTTGGTTTTGGAGATTTATAATAGCTTTGTAGTAAGCTTCCTCCGAAGGGTATACGTTTAATTGTTGGAATTGTTTCTTCCAAAGGCTTATAGCTAGTAAAATATCAAAAATATGATTTTGAAACTGATTAATTGTTGAAACTGGTTGATCACAAATATGAGAATGAAAATTAATGTAAATTTGCATAAGTTTCAAGTTATAGCAAAAAAAAACTCACCTCACCATGACAAATAAAAAAAAATAAGTAAAAGAGTCCATTAAAAATTGAGAATTTTTTTTTCCTGTAGGTAAAAATGATGTATAAAACACAAATAAACATAGAAATATCATTCCTTCCCTCTCCACCTCAAATTCATAAAAGGCTTCCCCATAAATTAGTTAGAAGAAGTGACCTGAACCATTTATATGATGAGTAATTTAAAAAAGTCCAAAAACCAAATCCAAAAAAGTATATTCTTGAAAGTCCGAACACAAAAAAAAAAACGCGCTTCATTTGCAATAATAATAATAATAATAATAATAATAGTAATAATAATAATAATAATAATAATAATAATAATAATAATAATTGGTCAACTGGGAATATGAAACAAAATCAAAAGCAATTAAACAAAGAAAAAACACAATTCATAACTGATCATATACGAAAAAAAACTGAGACTCCATAATTAAAAAAACGAAAACCACTCTAAATGAATAAAACATAAAAAAGAAATTAAAAAAACCACACTTTGTGACAAAAACCCAATTGATCAATTCAATTCAAACAGAACTAAAATCATAAAAAAATTCTAAGCTGACTAACCATATAAGAAATCACATCATATTACCTGACAACGGCTACGGTAGCTGTAATGGGTGGACGCATAAAAATAATAGATAACACTATTTTTGAACGGGAAAAACAAAACATAATAAAAGCGGTACAAATGATCTGTGGATATAAAATTATTTAAATTTTAATATCTGTAATGGCACCACCACAACGGCCGAAAGCAACATCAATGAGAATTTTTTTTTTCCCTTTGTGTTTATATAGAGAGGTAAAGAGAATATTTTTTTAAGTTGAAATTTTATCTGGTTAGGATGTAGTTGATCATCACTAATGAAAAGATTGAACATGCTAATAAAAAAGACGTATATTTCACCACATATTCTCAATTGATGATTGATGAGTAATTTGTTTTTTTTTTTTTTATTGTGGAGAAGGGATTGATTAAGGAGTCGATTGTCGTGGAGATGGAGATGAGGATTTGTGTTTTTTATGAAACCGTGTTTTTTTTTTGTTTTGGCGAAAATAAGAGGTGGTGGTGGATTTGGACTGCATTTGCCTTTTAAGTCTAGGAAATTGATGTGTAAATAAAAATTTATTTTAAAAATATAATGTGGAAATGTCACATGACAAATGATGTTGCTTTCTCTTAAGTGTGATTTTTGTTTCTAATATAGTAAGATATATATATATATATATATTGTTCTGAGTTGTTTGTTCTAGAGTTAATGAGTTTTACCATTTCTTTTTTATTTTGGAAGATCCAGATATTTTCATAAAAAAATCTCCACTCTATCTATCGTTTTGATCCCCCTCTAAATTTCGCCTCCATCCCATTTGATTCGAAAAGAGACAAGTTTCGAGGATCCTTCTTTTTTTCCAAGCATCCTTCTTCAATTCAATAGTAGCAAAAACCCGCCGACCACAACGCCGGAAAATGGTACCTACTGCAAATAAGGTTTTTTTTTTTTTGGAATGGATTTATATGAGATACTCCCTCCGTCCTAGAAAAATAGTCCACATTAAGTTTTTCAATTTATACTAAAATTGATACAAATCTCAATGTTGATTATTTTTTTGGGATGAAGGTAATATTTCATTTGATGTTCCTTCTGGTAAAATTTAATTTGTATGTTGTTCCAACTAATCCGTCTTCGAATCGGGTAGGTCACTTTTGGAAGACAAATCTCTTCCAATAATCATTACTAAATGCCCATGCACAGATTTAATCATGGATTGTAGTTAACTTGGTCCAATACGGTTACCACTTTGATAAGTACTTCTTAGCCATATAGGATATTTTAAAATACAAATTAATATCTTCAACTATCTAATATACTTCTTGTTTAGGAGTGTTAGTATATATATATAAAAAAATCTAAATAAGAATTAATATGATCAATTGTCTACTATTCTATTTTTTTAGGAATATATATAAGTATATAAAAGTTATTTTCAAGGATGGTGCTTAGGTTCCAACTAACTCAAAAAAACTCAAGGGGTATACCCAAGAGGTAAATTTTTGCGTTAGCCAGTGCCATACAGTATAATACACCCAAGGGGTATACCCAACAGATGAACATATATACTATATAGTTCCCTAATTCCACTTCTCCCCATTCTTTATTATTAATATGCAGCAAGAAGCGGCAGAGCTTAAGTCTCACCACTATTACATCACCTCAAATTTTTTTTTTTCCGAGTCATTTTCGTAGATAAGGAAAAGACTTTTGGTCTAAAACCATTAGTCCTTTTACAAAGCTAGGAAGGGAACTGAAAGTTTCGAAAAGTTTAAATTCTCCCATTGACACCATCTTTGCTAAGAAGTCTGCAACAGAATTGCCTTCTCTGTAAATATGAATAATAGAATATCTCCTTCTCTTCAAGATACTCTTCATCTCAACAAGCTTCAGAAAATGCCTCCAAGGAAACCCAACTTGGCCAGCCAGAGCATCAGCAAGAACCTTGTTATCAGTCTGAACTACTACATTAGAGAGTTGAAGTAACTCGTACTTCCGTAGTCCAAATAATACTCCACAGATCTCCGAAGAATAACTATCAGTATCTCCAAGATAGCCACACTCTCCATATACAAAAACACCCCCGTCTCCCCTTATAACAAAACTATATCCAGCACCTTCTAAATATGCGGAACCATCGCAATTTAGAACAAAAGAATTCTCACTTGGGGGTATCCATGTCACCAGTCGAGATCTCCTTCTAGGTGAAAGTGTTAAGTGCAATCCAAAAATTGTGTGAATAAAGCCATTTTCAGCCTCACCACTAACCTTGAGTTCATGAGCAATCAACACATCTCTCACATTAGATAAAACTAAGCGAGTAACGGCATCAAGATTTGGAGAAGTACCTTCAAAGAAGAACTTGTTTTGGGCCTTCCATAGCTCCCAAAGAATAAAAATGGGGAAAACCTTGTATAGGACCCCTTTCGCCACATCAAAAGAACCATTTTTCCACCATCTCCTCAGAACACAACGAAGACTAGAAGACCCCCTTGTATCAACATTCATAATATGAGAAAAATGCGTCCAAATTCTTGTGGCAAAAATACATTGATAAAAACAATGTCCCATACTCTCAGCATCTTGCATGCAAAACCCACATATAGATGGATTGACTCCAATACGAAGGGTATTCAATACTTCAGGGAAAGGAAGCAAACCATTACGCAACTTCCACAAGAAGAAGGATATATGAGATGGTACCTTCCTATGCCAAATATTTTTTAGAAGGGGCTCAGTAGCTCGGCGGCTTCTAAGGACTTCATAGGCAGACTTCACCGTAAACTCCCCCCGCGGAGTATTTTGCCAAACCAATAAATCATTCCCCTCCATAAAATCAAGATCAGCGTGTTGCAAAGAGGAGAGAACCGAGGGTCCAAGGCAGCCACGAAACTCTTCCAAGTAGTCATCCCTTCGCAAAGAAAATTATCTAATTGTAAGGTTAGGAGAAGGAGGATTGCCAAGACAAAGATTCCTCAATATTCCACAACTTGACCAATTATCTAACCAAAAAGATTTGTCTCCCCTCCCAATGACGACTTTACAGAGAGGCGTCACTCTTGCACCTATTTTCATTAATCTCAGCCATAATGTTCTACCCTTAGCCGAATCCGAGAGTGAGAGTAAGAAGGAGCTCCAAATCCCTTTCCTATTCTTCACCTTCCACCAAAGCTTAGCTGTTAAAGCGGCAATAACATCACGGAAACTCCTCAGCCCCAAACCATTCTCACAAACTGGGAAAGTAATGTTTTGCTAAGAACGCCAGTGTCTCCTTTGGTCCCCATTCGCACCTTCCCAAAGAAATTTCTGACAACTTCTTTCCAAACCTTGAATCACCGTCTTAGGGGGGGGGGGTTATTGCTGAAAAGATATGTATTGGCATTGATGACAAAACATGCCTTATCAACGTCAAACGACCTCCAGGCGAGAGCAATTTGTTTTTCCAGTTAAGGAGCTTAGCATCAAAAGCATCAAGAAGAAACTGAAATGTGGGGATCTTTTTCCTTCCATGAAACAACCGGCAGCCCAAATAAACAAAAGGAAAAGAACCCTTTTGAATTCCCAATGTTCGTTTAATCATCTCAACTCTTCTTGGATTGCATTTTCCTGAAGCAACAAAAAAGGTCTTCTCCCAGCTAACTTTTTGACCTGAAGCTAGCTCATATTGCTCAAAAAATGAATTAACCTCTTTCAAAGATCTTTTCAAACCCTTAGAAAAAATGATCAAATCGTCCGCAAAACATAAGTGAGACACCACCCTTGAACCAGCTGGAGTGCCATATTCTGCAATCTTTCCCAGTTCTACCAAAAACTTCAACCTCCTTGTTAAAGCTTCTGAGATGAGTATAAACAAGTAAGGGGACAAGGGATCTCCCTGTTTTATTCCTCTCGAGGCTTGAAAGAAGCCAACAGGGCTACCATTGACCAATACAGAAAACCAACTATTTTGCAAATTATTCAAAATCAACCCCACAAAATGTGCTGGAAAGCCAAACTTAGTCAACACAGCTTGAAGAAAGCTCCACCTAACCCGATCAAAAGCCTTCATCATATCTACCTTAATCACCATATTGCTTCCTTCAGCCTTGTGGTCAATAAATTGACATAAATCTTGGGCCAACAACACATTGTCAATAATATCCCTCCCAGCCAAGAAAGCTGATTGCTCCTCAGAGATTAGCCTTGGCAAAACACTCTTCAATCGCTCTGTAAGAACCTTTGTAAAAATCTTATTCAAGAAATTACAAAGATTAATTGGCCAAAAATCAGAGAAAGTGTTCACCACTGACTTTTTCGTAATTAGCGTAATCAATGTACTAGCAATGGTACAAGGTATAGGCACTCCAACCATGAACTCTTGACAAGCATCCAAGAGATCACTTGCTATTATATTCTAACATTTTCGATAGAAAATACCACCAAACCATCTACCCCCAGAGCACTATCTTTGTTTTAATCAAAAACAGCCCCCTTAACTTCCTCAAGTAACAAAGGCCGCAAAAAAAAATGTATTCTTAAAATAAAAGTTATTTTCAACAATAGAAATTAAATCATGTATATTCTTAAAATATATTGATTGAAAAGCATATAATGTTTGCTTGTAGTAATTGAACCAAATATAATAAATGATGTTTTTTTAGGCATAAAGTAAAATAAAATAAAATAAAAAATTTCAACAAAAGTAAATAAAGCATAAAAAATAGGGGGAAAATACCATGACAAAAAAACTAATAAATAATTTTGAAATACTTATCCATACTCGTCAAACTTTTTCCTTAGTTTTTTTAATAGCAAAACAGACTGTGCCTAGAGGGTGCAGGACCCATTTTATTAATCTGGACTCATATCTTTTTTCTTAGTTGTGGGTGTTTTTCGAGGTACTTATTCTTTTGCCACCACGGTGCCACACTTCTCTTGTAAAATCAAAACACATAGATATCATGAGTTTTTTACCCAAAAAATTATCCAAGGAAAAAGGTGGACAAAAATAAAACAAACGAAAACTAGGTGGACAGAAGTAGTTGTCCCAGATTTGACAAATCCGAAAGAACTGAGCAGTTGGATTTGTCAAATCCGAAAGGGCTTAACCTCGGATAAGCGTTATCCGAAACAATGTTAACCAAAATATACTTAAATTTAACCAAAGAATTAATTAAAATTAACCATGTCTCGGATTTGGATAATCCAAAAGTCTACAATAAAAAAATAATTAGTTTTTAACAAAATAAATTAAAGTATTTGAAAATTAAAGTTGACTAGAAACGGACTGGGCTAATCCGATACTATACTCTCGGATTCCATTAATCCGAATCTCTGGAATAAAATATGTTTTAGTTTTCGAAAAAAAATTTAAGTGTTGAAAATGAGGTGGAAGAGTATCGGATTACGCAAATTTGACAAATCTGAGTCTCCCCTGTTTCTCTGAAATTGTCCACTCCCGGATGCATTTTTCTGCAGCGACTCTCGGATTACGCAAATCCGAGAGCTGTACAAAATGGTAAGTCTCGGATTTGGCAAATCCGAGGGTTATCATTTAATGGCAAAAAAATATTGGACTGGTTTTCACCAGTCCTAAACCTGTTTAAACAGCACCAATATCATAATACAGCAGAGAAAAGAACCAATAACAGAACAACAACATTCTCATAACATTCAAATGGAAAATATTCTAAAATTCATACAAAATCATCCAAGAACCTAAAAAATACTAATCTACATCATTTTTTTCCTCTCTTAGGAATAGTTGGCGGGGTGCATTTAAGCACCGTGTGGCGCGACCTGTCGGATTTGCGAACAATTAGTTCCTCCGGTAATGGCCTAATAGTCTCAAGTGGCACCACGTTTAGAACTTGCGAGGGGTCTCCTAGTGTAATGGTGAGGAGTGGATCTTTTTCGTGTAGGGAGTGAGATCCGAGAGAAGAACCAACATCCTCCCCTCCTCCCACATCCTCTCCTCCACCATCCTCTCCTCCTCGCACATTCTCTCCTCTAACATCCTCCCCTCCTCCCACATTCTCTCCTCCCACATCCTCCCCTCCTCTCACATTCTCTTGTTCGGGGTGGCTCGAACTTTCCGCGTGATAATGCGATTGAGAAGGCCTGAATGGATTTCCCATCTTTCGCTTTCTTCCTCTTCCAATTTTGTCTTTCGGCCACGGTTTCATTGTTTCAGCCCAGAGAGGTGGTTTGGGTCGAGAAGGTTGAAAATCCTTGAGGATTTGGCTATCCGCAATATCCATTTCAGCATCTTTGCCAAGAGTTAAGACCGCGTGAGTTTGATCCACGATCTCATCGAGCACCTTTTCGAGGTCGATGTCTAGGTCATCGGCGTCACGACGGTCTTCTCAGAAGGTCATGGCCTTAACGCGGATATTATTCAGCACTTCAGCCTGGAGAAATATATTGAAATAAACTATTAATTGTAAATAAACACTATTAAAGACACAGTATAATTAGCAATTTGGAGGAAAAAAATTAAAATAAACTATTAATTGTAAATAATAAACACTTACATATACTTTCACCCAGGTCGAGGAAGACTCATATCCGACCGTTGTGTAATTTTTCAGATCGGATATGAACCACTCATCGTAGTCGTCCGAAGTTTGGCCGGGCTCTCCTTCCACCAAATTCCTAGGAATGTGTCAGATTCTCCTATTCCAATGAGGTTGTGAATTGCGATGGTGATCCACCCACTTTTTATCGGTTAGCCCGACATGTTGTGCTTGTGAGCCTCCCTATTCGCGACGAAATCAACAATTATAGGAGTTTCAGGCACTTGTTGAATATAGCCAAACTGTCTCACGACCCTGTCAACTTCGTGGGGTTCTCGGATTGCCAATAGACCATCCACGACCTTATCATCCAAATCCTACTACCTTATTTACAACAATCAGGAAGGGATGGAAAGAGATCCTCATAGGGTGCCAGAGAAACTATGAAAACATTGGAACATAACGAATTAACTCACAAAAAAATGGTGGTCAAAAATGGAAAAAGAAAAATAAAAAAAATAAAGTTATTCATGCTTACGTCTGTTATACATAAGGCAGTCAATTGATCTCTAAAACCTGGGAGGCTAGTCCTTGGGACGTCCTTGTAGGAGTAGTTGCAATTCTACCTTTCAATACAAAAAATTCAAAGGTGTTATTTTTGGGAAAAAAATATTATTAGTAATCTTAATACTAATTGGTGTAAATAAGAAAAAACTCACCGGTAAGCTAAAGGAGCGGTAGGATCCTCTTCAAAATTCTTTAATAATCTTTGGGGTGCGATTCTTTGCATCCGCTTATATGCCCAAACCTAAATCAACAAAGTAACACCATAAATAGTATTAATTTAAACGGGTATAAATAGTCAAAAATTAAATTCACACGTATTAATTAAAGGTTTATACCTATAGAAGATATCCACAATCGATTATACCACGTTTGTCGTATTTACTAGCCTCGCACATGCCCGAGTACAAGTAAGCAAGGAGAGCCGATCCCCAACTAAGCTTTGCACAAGTTGCGAAATCCGCCAAATGGTTCAATAAATATAAACCAACACTGTTTTGGCTCTTGTCCGGAAATATAAAACAACCCATAAACCACAAGAGCAATAATCGGGCCCTTTGTATATATACGATCTCCGGAGAACCTACAAAAACACAACACATTAAATCTTTACATTCTTTTCAATATAAGTTGTTAATTCAAAATATTTAAAATAAATAATTAATTAATTACCTTCAGGGAATGAATGGAGCGCCGCTGTCTCTATAACGGAAATCTTAAGTGTATTTCCCACAATTCGACCCGCTGCAGGGGTGAACATGTCTTGGCATATTAATTGCCATTTCGCCATGGGATTGTTAGGCACGACACCACAAACTATGTCGCCATCGACCCGGAGACCAAAGAGGACCTCCACGTCTTGCAATGTCATAGTTGCCTCTCCGAATGAGAAGTGAAAAGTGTGTGTCTCCGGTCTCTATTGTTCCACCAATGCGGTGATGAAACAATTATCACATTTTTTCCACCCTATTTTAAATATCCCTTCGAACCCGGCAGACCCCATGAGCGCTCATACTTCCGGAGGGTAGTATTACCATAATAGCATTCCCAAAACTTTTGGTCAAACCTATGCCCTTTTAAAGGTTCGGTCTGCATGGAGGGGTCGTCGCCATGGTACACTGATAAACTATGGTGTTCATGTTAAAGATACAATAGTGTATCAATAATAGGACCCAATTGAACATACTTGGCTTTATATTGTGAACCGGATGGATTCGACATGGATACCTACACCACCAATAAAACTAATTTAAACAATCAAATAGGGCTCAATAATCACCAAACTCAACATTTAAATTAAATTTTAACACAAAATAATGTGATTGAACCATCCAACATATATGCATGTTCCTTAAAAAAAGTATACATATACACATGCATGTTCCTTTAAAAAAAAAAAAGGCCTCAATTTCAACACAACATAACCTAACTTGTGGCTCAATTACAACAAAACTTTCAAACAATCCAATTTAAACAACATACAAACTCAAAATACAAAAAAAAAAAAAAAAAACTCAACAAAACAATCCCTCGAATTTAGTAATTCCAACAATTAGGGAGTACAAAAAATAACTAATCACCCTCATGTCAATATATTATTCACAATTGCAACCAAAAATAGTATATTCCATCACTCGGATTACCCTAGGAGTAACAATTGAAAAAAAAAAATTAGGGCAAAATTAAATTGAGGGAAAACTTAGGGCAAAGTTTGTTACCTTTGTAGTTGCTACGGCGGCGGACGTGGTGGAGAGCGGGGAGGACGACGGGAAGCGCCGGTGGAGTGGACTTGACCGGCGGTGGCAGTGGAGTCCTCAATTTGCAGCAGTGGAAGACCAAAACAGCGGCAGTTGCGGCGGCAGTGGATGGAGGAAGGACCGGCGGTGACAGGGGAACAGCGGCAGTGGCTGAAATTGACGGTCGGGGGTGGATGGAGTCGTGGCGGAAGGTGGATTTGCCAATGGGAAGAAAAAAAAATTAGGGCTGTCTGAAAATGAATTGGGGGAAGAAGGTATTTATACCCCCGATTGACTCGGATTTACCAAATCCGAGAGAAGACGTTTCAGATTTGCAAAATCCGAGTCTCCCCTGTTTCTCTGAAATTGTCCACTCGCAGATGCTTTTGTCGACTGTAGTGACTTTCGGATTAGCTAAATCCGAGTCCCTCCCTTTTGTATTGAACTCGGATTACGCAAACCTGAGGGAATTCTCAGTCCATTTTGGTACGTTTCGGATTTACGTAATCCGAAAACTATACAAATTGCAATATTTGGTAACTCTCGGATTTACGTGATAACCTTTAACTCCCTTTTATGGTATATGTTCCACAACTTGATGGCATGCTTTGCTTCTCCTTGAGACTTGAAACAAACTTTAATGCCCATCCCTTCGAGAGTCTCGTCCCACATTTTTTATATCAAGATCATCATTGTAAACTCGCGACGCATTCCAATCACCCATTTCCTTATACACATGGCGCCAGGGAAATGGATTTAGTTCCATTTCTTCATTCACCAAATCTTCATCATCACTAGGATCGCGTTCTTCTGAGCTTTCGCTTGCAGCTACGTAGTCGGAATGACTCTCATCCATGGGATCATCGACGGCAAATAAACTTCCACCAACTTTTTCATAAACCCGTGAAGTACTTGCTTGTTTTTGCGTTGGACCATCTTGTTCACCCTCATCCATGTGATCTTCTTGTGCAAAGAAAGATCCACCATAATGATTGTTTCCATCTTCTTGGTTAGTAATATCCTCCGTGTCTATGTACAATTCCACACTTGTCATTAGCTCGAGGTGGTAGATATTCCCAACATGTGAATCATTCTTTATCTTCATGGCGCGCCTAACACCGTGAGTCACAAAGATTAACGAAATGTGGAGTTTCCTAGCTATTTCAAGATTCCAACCGAACGCCACACAAATCAAACCAAGCAACTCATCATATAACAACCTACTATCAATAACAAGAGTGTCGTCCGGCTTGTTCTCAAATGTGTTCACTACACCATTCTCTATCACGTACTTGCTTCTGTGAAACAAATTAAGTATGTATGGCCCGTGCGTGGACATTTTAACTGTTTATTAAGGGACCAAAAAAAATTGTTAACTATATTAATCGTAATCTCACCTAAAAAAAATTAATTCTCAACTAAAAAAAACAACAACAATTCTCACCTTAAAAAAAAAACAACAATAACAACAATTCTCACCTAAAAAAGAAAAACAATAACTCCTTTCTCATTAAATTATCCATACAAATTATCCCTTAATTCTATCAATTATCCATACAAACAAAATCCACCCAAATTTATCAAATTAACCTCTATCAATTCTTAAAACAACAACAATCCTAGCCTATAAACTCAACAACAACATCTACATTACCATATTACACTCACAATCATCAATCCTAAGCCCTACCAATCTTCCATCTTCAAAACAACATAAATACACAACAATACAACTAAAAAAATATTGATTTAATGACTAACCTCATTTAAATAACGATTCCACACGAATTAGTGGTAATGTGCGTCCAAAATCCTGAAGAACTCCGGCCACAACCTTCCCTAACCCTCCAAAATTGAAAACTCCGATCTGAAGGGAAGCTGCAACTTTTTCTTTTTATAGTCCCGTAGTTTCGGATTTGCCAAATCCGAGAGTCACTATTGTACGGGGCTCTCGGATTTGACAAATCCGAAAGGCCGTCATCTTATCCGGTCCGATTTAATACATCCAACAACTTTATCCACAAGGACGGATTACCATTACACTGAATGCATTCATTTGGATTTTGCAAATCCGAGAGGAAACCCTAAACCCTAAACCCTAACATTCGGATTCGCCAAATCTGAAGGCACTGTTCTAATTTTTTACTTTGCCCGCCACTCGTGTTGCATTATTTTAATATTATAGTTGGATGAACTCGGATTTCACAAATCCGAAGGTACTGTTCTAGATTTTGAATTTGCCCGCCACTTCTGATGTATTATTTTAATATTATAGTTGGCTGACCTCGGATTTGCCAAATCCGAAGGTTTTGTTCCAGTTTTTTAATTTGCCCGCCACTATTGTTGTATTATTTTAATATTATATTTAAAGGTAGAAATCCGAATGCACTGTTTACCTTTTGACCCTATTTTTTGTTATTTTTGAGATATAAAAAAATTTAATTTTTTATTATATTAAGTAGTGTCGGATTTGGCAAATACGAGAGACCGTTAAATTAGACTCTCGGATTTGCCAAATCTGGGACAACTACTTATGTCCAAAAAAAAAAAAAAATTTGTCCACAGCAATTCTTTCAAATTTTTTTGGCCAAACGACCCATATAATCATGAACTTAAAGTAAATATATTAACTATTAATATCTCAAATAAAGTAGATATTTACCTTCATACGCTAGAGCATGCGCAATTTCGTTTTAGTCTATCTTGCTCCTTTAGACCGAGATTGATGCATAACTATTTTTTAGCAAAATCCATTGAAATTCTATAATAGCAACGGTACAAAACATACCAAAATGAGATCCTCGTGATTGTTTAAAAGCAAAACCATCAATACTCATAAATACTTGTCAATGACATACAACAGAAATAATCCGTAACATGGAAACTATAATGCATGTTCTAAAAAAGATGCCTCCCCTCTAGAAAAGAAAAGGTATGTTAGTAGTACCAAAATTTTCCTTATGATGTCGAAATTTAAAATGCAAGATAAAATGATTAGTTAACAGTTCAAAACAAAAGGATAGATTTTTTCCATTGATGAACCTTTTGCAATTAGCGACCACATTTTTCATTATTAATCATAAATCAGATGGAAGGTCGTCTACAAGTATCCACACTGGAATAAACTAACGAACCTTTTTCAACACAAGCAAAATTAAGAAATGAAGTGAAATTCTAACAATCACTCTAAAGACTGAGTTAATAATATTAAAGTACAACTTACCATGTCAATTGAAACCCATCATATCTTTTCGATCAACAAATGAAAAATATCCATCTAGAATTACAATTCAACTAAGAGAGATACCAGTGTATATCTTTCAAACAAAAAAAGGAGATTCAGATCGAAGGGGAGGAGGAAGGGGGAAGAGATAGAGGATGAAGGGGAAGGGAAGAAGAGGAGAGAATCAGAACGTCAGCTTTTTATTTTTTTTAGTGACTAATCTTTTTTATTTTTGATAAATATATCAAATGGAATTATGTGAAAAATAATATTAACCTATGTTTAACGTATTCATATCTGGTTGTAACTTGTATTGTAAGAAAAATTATTTGATACTTCTTTTTATTTTTGGTAACCCAACTCTTTTTGTTTTTGAAAAATACATTAAATGGAATCATCTTAAAAAAAATAACACTAACCAACATTTAATGTGTCCGGACTTAGTTTTGAGTTGTATTCGTAACATAATAATTTGATAACTAAATCTCTTTTATTTTTGATAACTAATCTTTTTTTTTTTAATTTTTGAAAAATATATCAAATGAAATCATCTGAGAAATAATATTAACCTACGTTTAATGTATCTAGATTCGGTTTCGAATTGTATTCATAATGTAATATTTTATAACTAATCTTTTTTTACTTTTAAAAAAATATCTAAATGAAATCATGAAAAATAATGTTAATCCAAGTTTAATGGATATAGACTTGGTCCCAATTGTATACGTATGTAGTATAATCATTTGCTAACTAATCTCTTTTTAGCTTTTGTAATTAAACTCTTTTTATTTTTAGAAAATATATCAAATGAAATTATTTAAAAAAATAATATTAGCATATGTATGATGTATCTAAACTTGATTTCAAATTGTATTCGTAATATAATGATTTGACAACTAAACTTTATATTTTTGATAATTATTTTTTTATTTATGAAAATTATATCAAATGGAATCATTTAAAATAATACTAATATACATTGAATGTATCTAGACTTAGTTTTGAATTCTATTCATAATATAATGATTCAGTAACTAATCTCTTTATTTTCGTAATTAATCTCTTTTTATTTTTGAAAATATATTAAATAAAATATTTTGAGAAATAATATTAATCTACATTTAATGAATCCAGACTTGGTTTTCAAATTGTATTCATAATATAATTATTTGTAACTAATCTCTTTTTATTTTTTTAAATTAATCGTTTTTTATTTTTTGAAAAATATATTAAATGGAATCATATGTAAGCTAATATTAACCTATCTTGCATGTATACAGACTTAGTTTTGAATTATATTTGTAGTATAATTATTTAGTAACTAATGTCTTTTTATTTTTGAAAAATATATCAAATGGAATAATCTGAAAAATAATATGAACATACGTTTAATTTATCTAGACTTAGTTTCGAATTGTATTCGGAGTATAACTATTTGGTAACAAATGTACTTTTTTGTTATTGGTAACTAATCTATTTTTTTTTTTTGGAGATATATATCAAATAGAATTATCAGACTAATATTATCAACTTATGTTTAATGTATCCATACTTAGTTTTGAATTATACTCGTATAATTATTTGATAAATAATCTCTTCTTATTTGTGGAAAACATACCAATCATTTAAGAAATAATATTAACATACTTGTAATGTAGATAGACTTGGTTTCGAATTGTATTCGTAATATAGTTATTTGGTAACAATTTTTTTTCGTAACTAATATCTTTTAATTTTTGAAAAATATATCAAACTGAATCATCTGAAAAATAATATTAACCTACGTTTAATGTATCCAGACTTAGTTTCAAACTGTATTCTTAATACAATTATTCATTTGATGATTAATGTTTCCTTATGTCATATATTTGTCAATAATTACCAAAGACGTGTTTATCCGAAATTAACTATTGGTTAATTACTTAATTCAATTTAACAATTTTATGTATTAGTAATGAATTTTTAACTGTTTAATGAAGGATGATTTTGGTGACGACACGTGGTACAATTGGCTAAACTTGCTCCCTAGGTGACACGTGTCGATTAAAAACTCTGCTTTAATATATATATATATATATTTTCCTTTTAACAAACCATTACTGATTTCTTTTAATAATCACAGTGTTTTTTGGCAACTTTAGGCAACTTTATTACTCGAGTTAGTTACCTTTTTCATATGTGGATACAAATATGTGCTATTTATTGATATAAACAATACTAATTGATGTGATTGGGAGAAACATTAATTTGTATTTCATTTATATTTTATTTTTGATCAGGTTTGCTATTTTTTTACCTTACCATATACTGAACCCAATATTTAAGAAACCATCACTATATTGAAATGTGAGATTTGGAATGCTTTGGGTTGTTGTGATCATCGATATTTTGGGGAGGCATTGAAATTTTCCCATGTTTTAACTTTAAGAAAATGAGGGTATTAGAAGAATGATGTAAAATGTAAATGAATGAGATTTGGGGTTGGTTCGGCCAAGTTGAGTGCATAAACGAAGGATTAGGGTGATTAGATGAGATAAAAATTTAAATTGTACGTTTAAAAATTATGTCTTGCAACTTTTAGTACATAAAAAAAGTCTTCAATCACTCCTCTCTCCCCGTCAGTAGGGGCGATTTCACGTTTACCGTGTGAAATCGAATCGCTCACTTTTTTGATATTCTGATGTGCTCACAATGGTAGGAAAAGCGAAGAAAAGAGGGAAACAAGTTGATGCTGCTAGTATGAAACAAGGAAACGAAGGCAATCAACAGACGGAGAGGGCATCATCGACCTCACCAGTTAAGGCCAGTAACTCTGAAACTAGGGCTAAGCAGTCATGTAATTCGATTCTTGAAAATTTGTGTCATCAGAAAATTGTGCAAGTTGGGGAAAGTTCTGGTTCTAAGATTGAATTAGGAAAACAGGGAAGTAATGAATCAAGGGTTTCTGATAAGAAAGGAATTTGGGGGAAATCGAGCCCTAGTCTGTTTCCGAATTCAAACAGGAAATCAGAGTTTATTGAGCCTAGATTGGTGCATGATAGGGCAGTCCCTAAGCTCCAGTGTGATGAAATTCAAGAAGCTATAGACTATTAGAGAGCCTATGCTATCTTCTATGT